ATTGATATTTTTCACTATCTTGAAGGTCATGCACCGAAGAAGGCATGGATTGACCAGACAGTGTTATCGTCCCGCCAGGCCTTCCTAGATGGCTTGACCACTGGCTTAAAACAGCCTTCAGGAAAGGGCAAACGATTAATTATCGGCCATATAGGCGGGGAAGAAGGATTCGTAGAAGACAGCTTATTAATATTTGAAGCCAAAAAAAAGATTATCATCAAGAGATGAATGCCGATTCCTTTGAGAAGTGGTTTTGGGGTGTCTTGCCAAAACTAAAACCAAATTCCGTAGTAGTGATGGATAATGCCCCCTACCACTCCAGGAAACTAGAATCGCTGCCTAAAATGTCTTGGACTAAACCTAGAATACTAGAGTGGCTAACGAGCAAAAATATTTCATTCGAAGCAACAATGGTTAAAGCTACTCTTATAGACATTGTACGGCAGCACAAGCAAGAACATTGCGATAAGTATGTTGTGGACGAGATGGCAGCGCAGCATGGGATAATTGTTTTACGTCTGCCCCCATACCACTGTGAGCTCAATCCCATTGAGTTGGTATGGGCGCAGGCTAAAGGATATGTTGCAAGAAATAACAAAACCTTCAAAATGACAGAAGTAAAAAAAACTTTTTGAAGAAGGACTTCAACATATCACACCTGAAAAATGGAATAGCTGCGTGTCTCATATAATTAAAAAAGAAGACAAAATGTATGGTCTCGACCACATGATTGACAATGTTACTGACAGATTTTTAATTAATGTCACCGAAAGCGATAGTGATGATTTTTTATCTGATAATGAATAAAAACAAATTATGTAATAAGCGATTTTTTTTATTCTGATTACCTACCTATAATTGTTATATTTTATACATCTATAGTTTCAACTACATGATGTATTGAAAATAGGACAGTCTTACAAGTTTCCTCGCAATATTTTCCTTAATGTTTAAAACACTCGGTATTCAGTATAGGTAGATATTATAGGAACATAGTCGTCGAAAACTCGTTGGTATGTAAAAAGCACGACTAAAATTCGAACCCCGTACCCGATATCGGCAGTTCAGCACACTAACTATTCACTAGACAATCGAGGCAATTTCATTAATTCAGGAGTTTTTCAATCATTCACTTTGTCACAACACTATTTTTTATTTCATCAAAAACTGACAACACAGTAAACGTCAGTTGACTTCGTCTAATTAAAAATACGACTTATAAGTAATATAATTATATCAGTAAACTTGAACCGTATTATACTTATATTCCTAGTGAGATAGTAATGAATCGCTTTCGTATAACTATTATATCCCTAGGGATATAACTATATTACGACTTTATCTATCATACTGCGACATATACATATTTTTGTCTTTATTTAATTATAACAAATCATTTACTAAAATCTTGTATAATGTATTCTGCTAGAATACCTACATTGCTTAATCTTTTAGCTTTTTTTAGATACTGTTTTACATAACTATGTTGAAGCTCTTGGCATAAATATTTTCTGTATTTGTTAAATAAATATTTTTCATTTTACTATAATAATTATTATGAAAATACGTACTTATAATATAATTATGGAAAAGGAGAATTAAAGACTGCTTTGATCTTATATGAGTATTTTTATTTGTCACCTACCCTACACCCTAACAATTTAACTATTGGTTCATGTTTCCCAGTCTTGCATAAAGCCATCCACTATATACTCTCAAAAGTGCGTTCTCGGATCTCTCGAAAATTTTTTTCACCGTGTGCCACCCACGCACCGTATGCGTTTGGTGTATTTTTTCGTATTTATCAACAATATTTATTTAAAAAAATCTAAATACATCATTAGTAATCCATGTCCTATCATAAAACATAATAAAAACTGGTGGCACCTGGTCAACAACTTTTAAAAAAAGGTGGCATCGAATGGGTTAATACTTTTTATATTCGATGTGCCTGGTGTAGGTGTAGTACTCCTTAGCTTCTTTTCTTCATTCTTTATGATTCGTAGGGTTCGAATACTCACTCCTGTGGCCTCACTAGTGCGATCTAACGCACGTTCAAATGAAATTATAGGCGAACATTTGTGTTTATCCTTCTCGAAAAACGTTAGAACCTTTAAAAAAACAATAGGTTCTCCACAGCAATAGGCTGTCCATTGACTCATTTTGATAGAAAAAAAAAACAATAACATAAATCAAATAAAAACTCAAGAAAAATAATTTTTGAGTAAGAACAATAAATTATTTTATAAGAATAATATATTAAAAAGACGTTGCACACGTGAGCGCACGGCATTGCCGTACTAACCATAGATTACTGTATATATACGACACCTACTACCTACCTACCTACCTACTACCTACTGTACCTACTGTAACGAGTAAAGTTGTTCAAAACGACTATAAATCAATAGAACACTACAGGCTATAAACTATAAATTTCTAGCGCGCTATTAAATACACTATGTTATAGCGCGCTATTTATAAGAAAACGTGTAGGAGGCCGGCAAGCGCGTTAAGTTTTGCAGCACGCTATAATGTCTCATAGGACATTACATAACATGTCGTTCATTGGATAGACCGCGTGCTATATATGAACATTATTTCGTAATAAGTCGCATTTTAGACTAAAATAAAATAAAGCGGTAAAGCAAAACCAATGAACGCTTTTTCATACCTTTCAGGCTTACGACTTTCTATAATCCTAAAAATATTTTTAAGGCATGTACTTTTTAAAACAAAATAAAATACATTATTTTTTATTATAATTGATGTTTCAAACGTTATTATAACCCTAATATAAACTATAAATCAAATAACTGTGTATTTAAAAGTTTATTGATTGTATTTATAAAAATCAATTATTTACATACACTATTATGCACACTTTTGTATCTATATTTTATTTACATTTAAAAACATTAGGCTTCTTTTATAGCAGACAACTGTGTCCTTCGATCACTTATAAATATAAGTGTACACGAACTAAACAAGGTCTAACACTAAATTAGGTCGCGCGCGATGAATACCGTGCTACTAGATCAAATTTGCGTCACACGTCCTCTCCCAACAGCGCTGCTGCTAGAACTAGTTGCCGCTAGATATTAATATATACTTAATAGCGCCAAAGCGTCATAACGCAATAGCGCCATGGCGACTACTTACATAGCACGCGCTATGTGTTATGGAGAGATAGCGCGCTATAATATGTCGCTATGCGCTATATTAACACCATTAGTAACGAGCTTGCGGTTCGTGACTATAAAAACTGTCGATTGAATTACCAAAATTAACACTTTATTTTAAGAACACCAATTATAACCTAAAACACACTGAAAATAAAACACAATTGAACTACTGATCACTTTAGTTCGCAGTTGTATCGCTTCGAAGTATTCGCTTGAATTACCAATTCAATTCTGACCGGGGATTCGGGTATCTTTTAGCCAGTTTTAACCAAATATTTCTTGTATTTAAATCAGTTGGCACTTGAATCCATAACTTCCCCGGCGTTCTTATGCTCGTATTTTTGCCTTTTCTACTGAAAAACTAGAATGTTCAAGTACATACCGGTCCCGACTGACTAGGCGTAGAAAATTCTGGCATGTAATACTCTAGAAGGATCTTGACTCCTAGTCCTGCTACTCGATACTAGAAGGCGTTAGTGGTAGCTAATGTCGCAATGTACCAGGCATTATGGCGCGCAACACTGCTAACTAGGCGAGCGCGGGACGCGAACGGCGGAGGCGTGAGGGGTAGTCATCGGCAAAGTTTTTGCGCGCGGCTAATTATGAAAATGAAATGAAAGATTGAAAATACTGTTAAGTTAATACTTTTAGGTTATAGCAATAAAAAATGTCAAATTCTAAGGTACCGTTTGTCTATGGTTGAAAATTAAGTCTAATTTTTTTCAATGCACAGATTACTGCATATTGATTCCATTCCATGCCGTGGTGCATGAAGGTTAGAGAACAAGAGAACGATCACTGTAGAAAATAGTGTCCAGAAATATGGACACATAAGAGAGGCGCTGCGATCGCTCGAGGTTAAGTCAATAAAAGTCATTTTGAGTCTATTTTTCCGATCAGATGCTAAACCACTTGCACACCCACGCACAATAAAATATTTCTCCATTTTTTAATGTTTCTTTTTGTCAAAAATTACAAAATTACGGAGCATAAAAATTTTCTCATTAAAAGTGAAATGAAAATTCGTACTTTATTCAACTAACTTCATCTACTTGTAATCATAAACAGCTAACTTCGCAGTTACTACTCACCGACCTCAGCGCCGCTACACATTCTACAATTTTCAAGGACAGGCGGGCTATGCTTTAGTACGTAGTGATCGTTCTCCTGTTCTCTAACATTCATGTTAGTCAAGTTCAAGTTCAAGTATTTGGCGCTGATGATGGGGAATTAAAACCACAAAGAGAAACTACATCATGTATTTTAATCGTGATTGTTTACAATATCCCACTAAAGCAAAATAATCCGACGTCCGCTGTAAGGCACTAATCGAGACACGGACACACTGGACAATAAAAATGAAACTGTAATAAATTATACATAATATGTTTCAATAAAGTATTGATATAAAAATAGGTTAGGTTAGTCCTAAAGTAAAGAAGAAGATATTAAATTATTGATTATTATTTAATGCTATTACGTTACATTTTTATTGTCCACTATTTTTTTAATTTTAAAGACATATCTATATAGTTATCAGTAAGTATAAAAAAACCACGTAGTCTAGAAACTGTGGTCAAACAATTTCTTAAATACGGAGTACAAAATTAGTGTGTTGCAATACCCACAATTTACTAATGACAACTGTAATTTTTGATATTTTTAGCGAAGTAGATGAAATTGTATATTTTAGAGTATAGAATATAGATAATAAAATTTAATTATTAACTATGCTGCCTCAGTATCACCTCTTCTCAATGTCATTAATAACTATTGTAATAGATTACTGTACTTTATATGTACTAGATAACTATTATGGTAAGTCAGAGAGGGAGAGAGCACTTCATATTCCCGAAATAATAAGACAGTTTTATTGACTTTACAAAACGGAAGAGATACTGTAGGCGACAAATCTGCCGTTTTTTTTTAACAAATAATATAATATATTAAATATACATCATATATATATATATATATATATATATATATATATATATATATATATATATATATATACATCATTGTTGGTATGTACGTCGATGATTGTTTAACTTGTGAATGACTCGAACGACTGGTCTCATATTTTGTTGAGACGATAGTTCAAAGCATAGCTTATATGATCTGATAGGTAGCGCTGCAGTCAAGTTATTGCACCAAACAAATTCTATATTTATGAATCAAAACGATTCACAATTTAAATTGGTTTAGACCAAAACGATCGAACGAACGAACCAAAAAGATCCGCACTGTGGTCTAGTTACTAATGAATTTTAAATTTACACTAAAAAGACTGCAGTAAAACTCATTGTCCGACCGTCTATAATGGATAAAGCAACGTCTGCCGGGCTAGTTAATATTAAATAGATTTTTGTAAAGTGAACAAAGGAAGGATTAAAATTTATATTATGAACCCAACTTAGATATGCCACGGTTTACATAGTTATAAATACATTATTATAATATCATAAATTCTATAAGATGAGAAATTTGGTTCTTTTAAAAATTTATACATATCTCTTAATAGCTAACTAATATGTAAGAAAATACTATGGTATTGTCCTAATAACCATTTCTAATTTAATCTAATCATAAGAGTTGGGAATGTTACCGCGATTTATGATATAGTACAATATTTTTGTAAGTTAAATTGAATTATTAAAGATATGCTATAATGGAAATATGAGACATAATAAAAGTAAGTCGCTTCACACTTGACTCCTTGTTTCATCAATTATTGTACTGTTTAATTTAAATTGAAAATACAGTGATGTACTTTTTGTGAACTAGTATTAATAAAACGTAGCATGTAAGTGAATTTTTTGTTGGTGTTTAGGATCACTGTAAACCGTTAAAACACTTTATCATGCTAGTGCTCCACCTGCGTCTGAACGCGCTAATTATCGCGACAATTGATGCCATGCGCAAAAGTAGCCAATATTTAGTGCATTTTATTAACGCCACTAAGACATTAGGCGATAACTCGGGTGTCGGTTTATTCAAAGAGTTTTAGCGCGTTACAAAAGCTACCCGCCAAATAAAATATATATTGTTTATCTCACACAAGAAAGTATGAAGTAGTCTAACAAAAAAGTTTTAGAGTTGTATCAAACGGAGCCGTGACTGTGGGATCCACGTTTGCAGGCACATGAAAACAGACAAGCTCTCAGTGACGTCTGGCGGCGAATTATTCAAGCATTGTCTTTTCCAGCCACCCAAGAAAAATTGAAAACTAAAAAAGAATCTTTAATGGGATACTATCGTCTACATTTAAATAAACTTAAAAATCAATAAATTCAGGATCCGGCAGTGATGTGAAAAAAGCAAACCAATTTGTTTTATATTATAAAACAAATTGGTTTGTTGGTTTGTGCTCGAAAACGGGCAGACATAACGCCAAAAGCATTTTTCACGACTATACGCGCTGATGAGTTGTCGATTAAACTTTCTTTTTATGCTTCCCTCTGCGTGTTCTCCAGAATAGGGTTTCATCAAATTAATATGAAGCGAAAATGAATTATCGGCGACAAAAACATATAGTAATTTAACATTTATAACAGGAAGTAGTTCAGGTTGTGGAAAATTTAAATTATTTGTAGAAAGCTTTTCATACAAAATAGTATTCCTTGAAAACTCCATCATCGCTGATTGTTCCTTTGCTTGCAATATCACAAAACATGAAGCAAAAATTTCTGCCTACTGCTTCCATTAACACGATACTGAACGAATGTTTATAATCATAATAGTCTGAACCACTGTGTATAGGTGCAATCAAAACCACATGTTTGCCACCAATGCAATCTACGCGATGGGGAAATATTTCTCGAAATTCAGCTTCTTTTTGTAACCACTCTTCTCTGGTATTAGGGACCTGAAACCAAAAATACGGATAAGTACAATGTGTTTAATATAATTGTTTTAATAGTTCTAATTTTATTTCAGTCCACTGCTACTGATGAAAATATAACGGAGGAATCATTAGCTAATTCTGCGCATGAAGATTCTCAAAATAGATTAAACCCTACACCACCAACACAATCAACATCTGTAGGAGATTCTTCAGTCACTGAACGTCCAAAAACATTCAAGCGTCCACATGCTTCATATCAAAAGTCAAACCCATCTCCGGAGATTATTAATGCCGAAAAGCAAATGAATAACAAAAAAATGAATATGATTACTTTACACACATGATTGCCTCTAAAACAAGAAAAATCAAAGACACGGACGACAGAGAAATGCTGATGAACTCTATCCAAAATTTGACTATTGTATTTTATATGAAAGTAAACAAAATAATTAATCAGCCCAATCAACACACAAAGTACGAGACATATGATACAATTTTCAGCCCAATTTTTAGATTTCCAGAAAATATTGAAACTATAGATATCAATAGTAACTCATAGATAGACACATTTATATACGTATAATATGGATGTTACAAGTAATCAACCGGAACGTCGAACAACTTCTTCGCCGAGCATTTTACAAGAACAGTATATACCTTCCACTTTGCAAAATACACAGTATTCATTGTCCACTGTTACATCGCAAGATACACAGATTACGTTGCCCACAAATATACCTTCTATATCGCAAGCAGAGATAAATAACTGTTTACCACAAAAGTCGCAAGGTACATATATATTGTTTGTGTCAGAAAGCGGAAAAATTGAGATTCAGAAAATTATCCGATTTAGTAAATTGTTGATATTACTTGTTCTTCTTTTTTTTTTCAATAAATTCTTGAATTAAATATAAATTTATGTTGTTTATATTTACTTAAGTGTAATGATGTGTTACTTACTTTGATCATATTTTTCAAAATTATAATTAAAGCGGAGCTGATGCAGGGAACTCTCGAATAAAAAATGTAAACTTCTATAACTGTCTCCTGTAGCCAAATATCGTAAGTTAATGCCAAAAAAAAAACTTTTGCAGTTGCCTTTTGAAATTTTGTATCTTTTTTGGTTATCTACTGTTCAAGTACATAAAACTCCAGTGCGTTTTCAGCCATTAGGTCTGAAAAAATTCTTCTGACGAATTCCTGAAACGTAACGAATTTAAACAAAATAAATTTTATTCAATCGTAGGTAGGTAAATTAAGCCAAGAACTAGAGGAACCTGACTAGATATTTTAATAACTTAAGAATTATGATTATACTTATATTTTTCGACGACGATGCATTTGAATCATCCACCACCTTCTCCCGAGTTTAGGTTTTCTTTTCTTTTTTTTCTATGATTATATAAAACATGCATATAGTAATAATTAACAACACTCATGTAGTAAACTATAGCAGCTGATTCAATTTAAATTTTCCCCGCCACGTTAACGTGATGATTAACGAGAAATTATAAACTGATGGAGTATTTCTCTGATGTATTTAAAATTAGCGCGATAATTATGGTGCCAGAGACCGCAGCCACTAACACTATCGCTAACGCAGGTGCAGCAGTAGCATCATAATTATGTGGTCCGAGATGTTCATAAAATTTGTCGTTTCATTGCTCTTCTAAGCCTTTGTAGTTTAAAATTAATTATATAAATAAATAAAAATAGCCTGATAATATCAATTTAAGCAAACAACCGTATACAATACATTTTGTTATTATTAAAAATAAAATTAATTGGTATAATTCGCCATTTTAATTCCCATATTATTTAATTTATTTTAAAAGTTAATGGTAAAATTTTAGCAACTATGTAGGAATAAATATGTACATTACGATTACAATAATAAAGGGACTAAGCCGTAACTTTAAAGAGCCGACATACCCACTTCGTCGTTAATGTTATATTACTGCCAATGAAATCTGATATTTTATTGCAGATCATTTAATAAACAAATATACTGCACATTAACTGTAAAAGATAAATGAATAGTCCTTTTAATTATATATGCCTTTTAACTTAAATTTACTAAATATAAATGTTTGTTTACTAAAATAGCGGCCCGCTAGTCCCTTTGTTATTCTAATCGTGTAATGGCTCTGCCACACTATGCTCCTCGCGGCGCCGCAATGTTGCCTTGTCTGTCTACACACTGCCTTACTCGCGCAATTAATTGTGACGCTCCGCACTATAGTTCATAAAAGATAGCTTGATCTTTGCGACAGCTGTCAGTAAAATCACGCCTATGAAGCCCTGAATTTCTTGGTAGTACAGACAGTACCCGTCAATGTCATACTTTATGGGCATGCCGACCTAATTAGGTAGAGATCGCAGAGATCAAGCTATCTTTTATGAACTATAGGTCGTTTGCGTTTGCGACGCAATGTTGATTAAAATATTTATTATAGCTAATTATATAATGTCATAAAAATAAATATACTTTGTCGTTGTCGATATAGCTTTTTCTCTGTATACAGTGGTAATACGGTTGAATGATGATGACAGGTACACTATTTATGATTTTTGAATGACACGTGGCATACTTTCGTAACGAGCGCTCGATTCGAACAGCGTTAGGCGAATGTGTGACCAGCCGCTCGCGCTCATATTGTCAGTCCGAAAAAGCCGACAAAACAGGGAGCGATGAGCATGACGTGCGGCATCACGAGTATGGTGGCCACACTACGTCTCTTAGTCTTGTGTTGTTCGCGAACGATGAACGAATAGAAAACGTATCTTAGCACTGTACTAGAAGAAACGTTTCCGATCGCTTGTCATTCCGATTGTCAATCGGTCTAATAGGTCATTTCATACACCTACATTCGCAAGACGCCAGGATCGCGCGTGCGAACGAGCACATACGAACGCGAGTGAACGAGAAAATCGGTGAGACGTTACAGAATAGACGTTAGTTAAATTAATGCAATAACGTCTATTTTAGCTTATCATCCGAAAAGATCCAAGATTCGTTGTATTCACAAATTATTTTACTTATTATAATTAATAAATAGATACAAACGAACATTTGATAGACTTCGTTTCGGCACTTGCGATCGCGTAAAAATTTAATAAAGTTGAAGTTATGTTATAATTATAACAACTATTGAGAAGAATTTTATGTTTTTTTATTATTGTTTTAATATTCGTTTCGTCCTTGGAGGTTTTTATTTCGCATTTTTAACACTTATTTGCTTTAAACTTATAATTTGACCGAGAATTTATTAAATGTATGTGTGTGTGTGCATGTGTGTATACAAGTAATGAAACAACGTTACGACTCCAGCAGATATCGACCGACTGAGATAGCCATTCTATACATACAAATACAGTTTAAAGTGCTTAGTGGTACTGATGACCGAATAGAGCTAATAGAACTAATATAACGAATTAGTTCACTGTCCGAAATGAACTAGTACGGAGTGATCTTTAAAATGACCGAGCAGGCACATGACTATCGTCTCTGCCTCCTTTCCTCGCTACTTCGCCACTCGACAATTCGATATGTTAAGGAGACGCTACAGACATTCGCATATAAATAATGAATAATATACTAGAAACACACAAATGTATCTGAATACGTTTTTTTTTTAATTCTTAACACGCTGTAAAATTCGCAGTACACTCCAATAATATAGCAATCTACGGTTTACTCACGACTCATAATATGAATGTTTTATTGTTATTAGGTAAAATGAAAGTAGTAGAAAATCGTACTTAGATTCAATTAAAGGATTGGATAGAACCTAACCGTTCCAATCTATTGTTTTAGAAAAAGTAATTACCGTTTATTACATTAGCTCTGATTTATTTGTGTCATTTAAGAACATTAACAATGTAAACAAATGTGTACGTCATCCTTCTGGGAAAGTGGGATAAAAATAAACGGTATTTACTTTGAATTATTAATATGAATATTTTTTAGAGTAATGTAAAAAAATAGCTTGCAACTGTTTGCCACTTCTGACGTTATTTGTAAAATAATTTTTAATGACTATACCTTTCCCTATTATTTTATTATGCTTTAACAATTCCGAATACAAATCGCAAGTTTCTCACAAAGGGTTGTGTTGAATTGCTTAAAGAAACATTTCTTTTACTTTCCTTGCCTTTATACAAATTGTTGCCATACTACGTGTGAAAAAATGCTACATTTATCTATAAAATAGAACTATAATCTAAGCGTAATTATTTTAAACACTAAAATTCATTGAATTTTAATTTTATAAATAAATAGAGATCATTATTTTCTAAATTAAGTGCTATAAATTTTAAATGTAGTTGTTAATTTAAACATGATAGATAATACTGACATTTAAAATATTAACTAAAAAAAAACACTGATTTCACCTACTTAAGATGATACTGCTTTCATCCATTTAAAATATTAAATTCTTAGTCTTAGGACGTACCGGCAACCAAAATTTATTTCCGTGTATTGTAGTATTTGCAGCAACTTAAGTAGTCTAAAAAATATGTCCAACAACACCTACTACACTCTATCAAAGAAAACTATAACCAGTTTTAACACTATACAACAAAATATATACAGCAGTAAATGCTTAGTAAAAACTACAGAAAAACGTATTAACCGCGACACTGTCGTGGATATTTTTTATATCAGTGGACGCAAACGAGCATGCGGTTCACCTGATGATAAATGACTATCTTCGCTCATGAATAACTGCAACTCAGGGGTATGACCGGTGCATTGCTGGCCTTTTAAAAAACGAATAGGCTCTTTTCTTGAAGGTCCCTATGTGGTATCGGTCCGAAAATTTTGCTGGTAGTAGTCGATTAATAATAATGGATGTGTTTCCACCGTATTTCCAGAAACACAGCAACAATTTTTATAAAAGCAAAAAAAAAAATGCAGATCGTGAACATTTCCGCCATGGCATGGCATGGTTATAGCAAATTTTTTATTGCTTTAAGTTGTTCTATAGCATCAAGTAGAGCCAAAAGCTTTCGCTGATCCGCATTTATATACATATTTAAATATTGCTTTCATATAAGTAGCACGTGGGCAACATTTTATGTCCCAGCGGAGAATATACCAGCCAAATGCATATGGTCCAAAGTTAAAATCCTAGCCGAAGTCAAAATACTCAAAATCACAACTAAAGCCTTTTGTAATTGTTGCATTTCTAACACTTAAACGATGTTTGTATAAACCTTGATCAAATGAAAAAGTTAAGATTAATGAAAAATGGTTAACAAAATTATGCCAAATCATTATTAACGACCATAGTGCCACAAAAATGGAGATAAAATTACAAAATAATAATAATAATTTAAAGTATCATATTAGTCTTTACATTCACCACATAAAACTTATAATAACAGTCTCATCTTTATATATATATATAATAATATAATAATACTGCTATACATACACTATTCAACATTTAACAATTTGGCTTCGTGAATATCACACAGTCAACTCTGAACATGAATATTAACGTGTAATTCCTATTCTTGTAGGGGTGAAAACATATCATGTTCTAATTTCTTGTATGGTTTCGATTTAATTGTAACTTTTAATATGTCATGTCAAATAAACATTAATATTAATCGTCGTCATATATTTAAAAATGCAGGCTACATCCAATGCTTAGACAACATTGTAAATCATTTGTCGTACTTCAATAAGTGTCAGTTATCTCTTATCCCTGTATTAAATACTATACGAGCACAGTGGATCGTGCTGCTCACACACGCGTGTGTTTATGAGAAGCTGTCTTGCTCGCACTCGTCCCAGCTGTCGCAGTCGTAGTGGTCACAGTCGCAATCGATGTCGCACGCGGCGTGGCCGGTCGCGTCCGAGCTGATGTCGGTCAGCGCCGCGTCCGAGACCGGTTTCGATGATATGTCCAAAATCTGGAGAAAGTCGTAAAAGATTATGTCCCCCAAATTCTAGTGTATAACTGTATGCCGCAAAAATAAGTTCACTATCCACTCTCATAGTGCAATGGGACAGCAATCCAACACGACCAGAGGGACCAGGTATACAAATATTCAATAAACATTATTTACGAGTATAATTGGCCGGGAAAAAAGTTTCTTCCGGATTTTGTTTGTATAAAATTGAAGTAAAATCTTTTTAGTTGTACTGTAAAGCCACTGTTCACCATGACAACGCACCGTCTCACACCTCAGCGGTTGCCACGGCGATAATTTACGAATTACGGTTTGAACTGCTTGACCATCTATCCGCCTTACTCACCAGATCAAGCACTGAGTGACTTCTTTTTGGGCCCTCATCTAAAAACTACGCTCAGAGGACAGAGATTTTCGTCAAATGAGGAGGCAATCATCTTCGTCAACAATAATTTTGCAAAGAAAAACGTCGAGTATTATTTTGACGGGTTAGAGAGATGGGAGCATCACTGGGCGAAGTATGTAGAGTTCGCAATGAGACTATGTAGAAAAATAAAAATAAATTTAAGAAACAATCTCTTGTAAGTGTCTTTTTTAGGTCGGAAACTTTTCAGACCACCCACGTATATTACAATTAAATGTCATTAAACTTTGAAAAAAAAATGTCTTGAATATGTACCTATATAAAATACGCAGAAACTTTTAATTTCACTTTTTCCTTAACAAACGCAAACACTTTTTACCGCAATTTATTAACGATCATCATCATTATTGCCGTTTTCCTTTTATATAGGCCTGAGTCCTCAGTCATACGAAGCTGTAAAAGCCACAAGACTAACAGCACTAACACCTTAGAATAAAGATATATAATTGAAAATCGTTTTTTTTTTAAATTACGTACTATTCGTTACTATTTTTATGCTAATAATAATTTAGTTGTCCACCACTTTAGTAGTACTTTGTTTTTTTTATTTTATTATATAAAATTAACCATTTTTTATATACGGTTGCCGTATAAGAGATTTATTACACATTATATTACTTTTTATTACTTTTGTTGCACAAATGTAAGAACTACAGCTGAAAGTATTAAAACTACAGCCGGCCCAAATATATTTTTTAATAATAATAATTCAATTATTGCATTACTGTGTACAATAATTAAAAATGACATTGATTATTATAACATTACTACTTATAAGTGCACATAAAGGAAGTACAACTTTACTAATGATGGTTTCTTTCGAGTTACGTAACAAATTATAAATAACTAAAATCGAAAGCAAGAGAAAATGTAGAGTTAAGGCAAGCTACAAGTCCAAAATCATCCAAAACAAGTATTTCCAAACGCTTACATACGCAAACATATTTATGAACTATAAAAAATACTGTAGGTAGAGAACAACCTGTTGCACTGGAGTAACGGAACATAATTTGAAAAAACAGAATGGTTTATTTTAATTTCTTTTTGCAAAATGACGAATTTAAAAACTTCTTAAATTCAATTACTCGGAATTTTCAGCGACGACACCAAGTTTTTTTACAAAATAAACAGCCAAGGTAATGGTTTACAAAAGTATCAGATTAGATTTTTTATTTCATATTTATATTATAAGTAATTAATAATCTAATCTTCGAACTCAAAGCCACCATTATCATCAAATGTGTTATGCGATTTTCAACTCAAAACCCGCTTTGGGTAGATAAAAAATAGACCGCGGTAACCCGTTTAGTTTTCGGGCAGCGCTCGAGTTGAAACGTCGGTTCCGGATCCGGTTGCCACGCTGCACTCCACCTACTGCTGGACGCGCTAGTGAAAAACGAATTTGAAATCATGCTTAGACCTGTCTTAAGAAAATCTACCACTTGCTACTCTATTTATGGGGTTGTACAGAGTACTCACATCGGCGGAGGATCGTAGGCTGTAGTTGTCGGAGTGCGCGTCACGGTCGGCGGTGGAGAGAGCTTGCAAGGCAAGGGAACTACGCTTAGGTTCCTCGCGTGATACGTTCTTGAGATCCGACCTGATTGCTACTTCTGATGGGTTTGAACGTTCTGGAAAAATGAAACATTTTTTTATTTTATTTATTTATATTTTTTTTATATTTTTTTTTAGTATTTAATAACCTGACATCATTAATATAATAAATACATATTGCACAACTATCATTCAGGTGTTTAAAAATGGACTGTTGATTTAGGGTTGTATTTAACTAAAAAAGTATGAGTTTTTATGATGTAAATAAATATTTAAATTTTCAGGTAAGATTTACAATTAAGTCGCCTGAATTAGGGGGGGAGAGGTTGTGTGAGGGGAGGGGGAGGAGTTATAGAGTCACCCCTTGCCGGACGTGCTTACATTTTTTTATAAATTTTTAAAAAGCTCATTTTGAGGTTATGTTTAGTAATTTTTATGACAATTTTAACATGATTTATGGGGAGAGAGAATTGGGGGACGGACGCCCCACGTTACTTAACTAAACTAAACTTGGTGCAGTTGAGGAATGTCCAGTCGACGGAGCCTCGCTTAGCGGGGCTCCTACTTCTGAGTGGTTTATAAAAAAATAACCACGAAGGGAATGGCTTCTAACCCAACATGTCCGAGTCGGGGTGCCCCACGTCCCAGGCTCGCTTCGTTCGCTAGTGCACTCAATATAACACCAAAATATTAACTTTTATAACTACTTTAATTTATAAACATAATTTATGGCTGTAGTGTGTGAGTTTAGAGAATCGGGGACTCTTTTTACTGTAAACAAGGCATTCCATCTTAGTCCTCACGGGTGACAACGCATCTGCATTTTGATTCGTAATCGAGGATAGATGTAGATGTCTATGGGCCACAGCAACCACTTACCATCAGGTGAACTGTGTGCTCGTTTGTCACCCTATCCTATAAAAAAATCTTCCTAAATAGTGACCGACGTTAGGTCAAGAAGACATTACTATTATTAGTTGAAAAGTAACCCGCCCCGGCTTCACCTGAGTAAAATCCATTAATGTGGCATTATATAAACTTAAGATAATCATCAAAAACCATTTATTTTATCAATTTTTCGATTCGTCAAAAAGTCTGCAAGTTTTTCGATTAAAATATAACTTATACTAGCCGGCCAGGCAGACGTTCTGCCCTATCCAACGACCCTCTGTCATATAAAATATCATTAGGTTCGTAATAATATCGATGGTCACTTATTGGCATTATAAGACCAGACTTTACACAGTGTGCTAAATTATATTGCGATCACTTCAGTAATTTGGGAGTTTATCGCGGACAAACAACGTGACACGTAATTTTTATATATAAAGATAGCTTCTAGCATTGCTCTTTATCTGTTTGAATTTCTATTATAATCGGTTGAGCCATTCCGCAGATAAGCCTGAACAGCCAGGCAGACAACTAAACATTTTAAAAATTGTAATGCATCTCTTAAAGACATGGCAATAACCCCCTTTGCCCCATAAAAGGCAGTTATTTCGTTAGACAGGAGTAAATAGGAATAAAGACTATTTCAAAAAATAATACAGGAAAATGCAAGTTATTAGTCTGGTCCATTTTTTATACATCATCGACTTACAATATTTTTTCCTTCATAGATTGCCTCATGGGGGAATTTTGCCATAGTTGCCACGCTTGGCGAGCGGATAGGCTACCACAGTTTTTATTATTTTGAATTGTTATCAGGAAGATACTGCCGCCCATCTCCTGCATCGCTTACATTTTCTTATCTGCCTAATAAAGTTCATTAATAGAAGAAGTAACTAAATTTTCACGAAGATTCCGTTTATATATTCTTATTTAAAAAGAATAAGTGATCTTAATCAAATACCTTAATTTTTTTCACGCTTCCTCCTATATACTAATAAATATATAAATCTTAGCCTTATTTTATCTCTAATATCGTTTCATTTTTATATATTTTGGTTGGGGTTTAATCGGAACTTCAGGAGTTAAAAATAATCAAAAAATCTCCTTTACTCAAGATGCGAATGCTATCGCAAAAAAAATCAGTAAACTGATAAATGGCTACGTGAAATTCACCATTGGAAAAATAAAATACCTTTAAGAACTGGATCAGCTAACGATACAGGAGACCCACTTTTAGGTGAACTAATGCTCCCACCACTGTAATACATTTCTGGATTTGCTTCATGTCGATCTAAAACAATAATAAAAAAATTAAAGTACTATTTGCTTGGGTTCGTATGATTAACAAAATTAAACCCTACTCAAGTGCATCACTTCAAGATGTTTTAAGTTCCTTGTTTTATAGAATGAGTATGACAAACGAGTACATAATCCACCTACACAAGGTTATTTTGCAATACACGGCCGAAATTGCAGAGAAGTTTCCGAATAGGTAATATAAGCGAATGGTTAGTTCCGAATGACGATATGACAAGTTGCAGTAGTCACTGGTTACCATTTCAAAAATACAATATGGTCGTGATTCGAATCACTAACTTTATTTTCCTTTTACTGTTTCGATTACTTATGTTGGCTACCGAATGCAAATTGCACTAATTAAACACCATATCATTCCTATTAAACCACTTACCCATTAAAATTGTTTGCTTAAGGAAAAATAAACGAAATTCTATATATTATGTGAATATTTAAATCCTAATATTTTTTCGAGTAAACCAGTTAACATAAGTTTATCCACTTCCACGCAACGTTAGCTTTTTTCAGAAGTTAAGCACAGGACCAGTAAAATCGCTTGTACACAATTTTAACTCAGCATTTCTGTGTTACTCGAGAAGAAGAACGGTTAGCGATTGAAAGAAGAAAATCTAAATACATAGTATCTATTTGAAATAATATGTTTATGTAGGAGACGATTCACAAACCAAGTGCGACCTATGAGGTAATGCGCATTAGTATAAAAAAGCTCGATTGTGTAGTTGATGTTATAAGATAATATGTAATGTAATGTAAAAATGTTTGGTGGTGAAGGCGCACATACGATTAGAGATGGACTGTACTTGCAAAATCGACTACCAGGGTTTGCAACTACGTCCACCTTCAAATACCGGCGCCAAAAACGAGGGCTTGAGATACATTCAAGTATATAATTTCTGAATCGAAAATTGATCCGTATGAATATATAAATAAGTAGTGCAATCGCATAAATATGCTAAAATAGTAAACTTTCAAGCCTTTATGGAACAAAAATACTTGCATAGAATATTGATCTGTTACTACATACAAATAAAGAATACATTCGCGTCTACAAAATAAATACTTCCAAACCTTTAAAAGTTCCAACTTTCAAGACTTGTTGTAAGAAAAATACTTGCATAGAATATTGATCTGTAACCATTTACAAATAAAGAGCACAACCGCGTTTACAAAAAAAAATACTTCCAAACCTTTAAAAGTTCCAACTTTCAAGACTTGTTGTAAGAAAAATACTTGCATAGAATATTGAACTGTAACTATATACAAATAAAGAGCACAATCGCGTTTACAAAAAATACTTCCAATCCCTTAAAGTAAATATACCTTGATAGAACATTAATCCGTAACAAAATATAAATAAGGAGCAGAATCGCGTAGAGTGTTGACAGAGCGAGAATATTCGATTACGAGTTCGTACTTTGAAGTCTTGCAAGTATTTTGGGTCGGCACTTGGTCGGCGTACTGCAAAAACTAAAAAACTGGGCGCGTAAATACGCACCCACCCTTGGTTTGTATAGGATGATACTATGTTATGTAATGTAAAAATGTTTGGTGGTGAAGGCGCACATCATACGATTAATAGCCAATTGGTATTACATAGTAGTAATCTATTCTCAAATCAAATTTCATTTACGAAGAGGACAGCGCGTACGCAGTCCTCACTACCAAAAATTACGCGTCCGAGTTACCCACATTAGGGGTAATCGCAGAGGTCAGCCATACCGCAGTGCAATAGAACGGCCTCGCTCTGGGGGAACCGCCTTCCTGATCACGGTATCCCATACGCCAGGTAAGTATGATTTCACCAACAATGTCTGGCTCCATACTAACCGAGGAAAGAAAATCGTTAACGCGACGCACGAAAGGAACAGAGACATCTATCACAATTTGGGAGCACTAACATCCATGTCTATTACCAATAGCGACCTCTAGCGTTACACGTCATGCAAATGTAATTTCTCTCTTGGTATGCTCTCCATTCAACGTAAGCGCGAATTTCTTTTAACTAAGGCTTTTGAATGGCAATTACACTTTTAAATCATTAAAGGTGTTTGTTATGGTGACGTCACATTTATGTATGTGTATTAAGTACCATACTCAGTTTGAATTTAGTTCCGAATGCTGATATGATAGGTTGCAGTGGCCACTGGTTACCATCAGGTGGCCCTTTATAGACAGATATCCTCAATATACTTCAATGTACTCACATAACAAGCACGACACAACATGAGGTTGAAGTCATTCGAGTTAGTCTTAGTTATAACTATTCTTAGAATTGTTACACGGATATTACTAAACAAAAAGTGTTTCATAACTACTAAATTTGCATAAAATACCTGCGGCAGCATTTATCTGTTTAATAATATGTCATACTATTATACAAACAATACTAGGCTAAAAGTTTCTTGCATTATGAAGTAGAGTTTTATACTGAGTAACCAATTTATTAATGTCTTATAGCCATATAAGTTTCTATAATTCATTTCAATTAATCAGCTCCTGCTTAAATAATGATTTCTGAAATATACACTTCGTTTACTTGTAACTAACGCGGAACAACAAGTATACTTAGTTACATTTTCAGTGTCAAACTTTTTATACAGAGAGAAATACTATATATTGATTGTATTGTTAGGTATATAAGGCATTTTACGTTGCTTTCTATACAATATGCTGGTACTTGCGAACAATTATCATAAAATGAAATATGAAACACATAAATCAATAAGTATTGCAAACGAGCCTCTTCAAAACACTAGTAAAGTGCGAAAATACCCCCTGTTGAAGAGAGTTCTATACTTAATAATAATTACTTAGATTTTGTTCACACTTTTGAAGCCAACGGTTCCAGCATAAAGTGAAGATGAAATAGAATTTTAAAATATATTTTTTTGAATAAAAATAAATAATAAACATAAAACTTTCAATTAAAATAGATATGTTCATTATCAACTAGTTTTCAAGGAATTAATGGTAGTAATAAATAAGAGAATTTCTGGAATCTAACCAATAGACTTCAGAATCTGGGGCTGCGGGGACCGTTTCCGTTTATTCCATAACGCCCTTAAGTTTACCATGTTTTATTTTTCAGTCAATCACGACATGAATGAGGCATATTTCAATTAAGGCTTACTTCATATTTTGTTGAAATTACTTTGAAAATTATGCCGGTTTACACAATTAATTAAGTTTTTTTAATTAAATTTATTTTGCTAAAATTCGAAAAAGTTTTAGTTGTTAATTTTGAATCCAAATAATGTATTCATTGCAGAAACGTGTTTTCTACACATATGTAATGCAGAAGTTAATGCAGTCAGACGAGACCACTTTTTTACCAAACACTAGCTTTTTAACTAGAAACGCGCGAACTTTCATTCTACAACATAAAGAAAAACAACCGCACGAGCAGCTTTTATGCGACTTGTGAAGAATACCCACTACAACCTTTATATGATAAAATGGCAATGAATTCAAAACGCTAAAAGTATATTTTATAATACAACTAATATTTACTTGTTGCTTTTAAAATACTATCATCAGCAATTGAGTTAAAATTTCTTTCGTCAGTCCTACCTTTGAGTACTAAATCAAAGGAGGCGACATCGTAAGGCATACCCCTCTGTCAAAGGTACGAGAGTCCGACTCATACCAGTTATATGAAACTAGTTGTACCGCGTCGTGCGCCATTCCGCAAGTGATAATGCCAGTCAATCGAACTCCGACAAAAATGCCGAATTGCGGTGTATTTTCATGCAAAAAAAACCTCCTAGCAAAAGTATGCAATTTTTATAAAATAAACTGGCATCACTGCTGCAACCGAAAGACTTATAACGATTAATATAGTGATGTACGTCACAACTTTAGCTGTCGATAAGTTAATTAACCATTAGGGCTTGTTTGCCGCAATGACTTTCAGTTTTTGTTTAGATTTTATAATGAAGTATTACAATAAGCAGTAAATTTTTCTATTATTGGTTTGATTTCACATATTTCTAGGTTAAAATTTAGAATAGTTTGGCAGAAATTTGGGAGAGTAATACACCTTTCTTGAGAAAAATTAAAAAGAAAATCCCATAGATCTAATCCGGCCCGGAGGGGGAAGCAGGGTTGTCTCTTATCACAACTGTAAAGTTTCTGAGTGGTTGGTTGAATATTCAAAGAGTCCTTACATATCTGTATATAAAAACATAAACATATTTACTATTAGTAAACTTGATTATACATGCGGTGCGTGAAAAAACATAAAAAAAATCATAGCTGTGCTATTCACGAAAAAAATAAACGCGCAGATATTTTTAAAAATGCAATATGGTTGTGATTCGAATCACAAACTTTATTTTCCTTTTACTGTTTCGATTACTTATGTTGGCTACCGAATCCAAACTGCACTAATTAACACCATATCATTCCCTACTAAAATTGTTTGCTTAAGGAAAAAATACGAAATTCCAAATATTATGTGAATATTTAAATTTGAATATTTTTTCCGAGTAAACCAGTTAACATAAGTTCATAAAAACGCAACGTTTAGCTTTTTTCAGAAGTTAAGCACAGGGCCAGTAAAATCGCTTATACACAATTTTAACTCAGTATTTCGGTGTTACTCGAGAAGAAGAACGGTTAGCACTTGAAAGAAAAAATCTAAATACATAGTATCTATTTGAAATAATATGTTTATGTAAGAGACGATTCACAAACCAAGTGCGACCTATGAGGTCATGCGAATTAGTATAAAGCTCGATTGTCTTGGTTGATGTTATAGGATGATACTATGTTATGTTATGTAATGTAAAAATGTTTGGTGGTGAAGGCGCACATCACACGATTAATAGTCAATTGGTAATACATAGTAGTAATAAAATAGAGATGAAGCGTATATACTAGAACAGATCCAGGGACTAAGTATTTAACGAGACTAGGTTGCACCTATTCCAACTTTTAAAATACTTGATCCATCTAGTCTCACTGTGCCTACGC